GATCTCATAAACTATGAGATATTGCCTTGAGCAAGCTAAAAAATTAAGGGAGCATGAAAATCAATTATTCTTTGTCTAAAAAAATATTTATTAAGGAAGTCCAATCACAGAGAGAGTTTTGGTTTATTTGAAGATACTTTTCAGGTACAACTTGACATATGCATGACTAAAGAAAACGCATGCATATATAATAGTGATGTGGGAGCTATGTGTAGTAGCTATTATTGATATTGAATGGTATTCATATACGTTACTAGTTAAAAGTTTCAAGGATTCACACTTGATGCACTTGTATATGTACGGCCTATTGGGGCCAAGATGGTACATTATATTGTATATTATTGGTTGTTGAGCTATATTGTTATTGGTGCCCGTGTAGGGACTTGTTCTGGATAGATTAATTATTTTTGGATAGTCCCAATTATAAGGAAAAATCTACTAAATTTTTTAAGAATTTGTAAAGGTAGCCAAATTTTGAGGGCCTCAAGTAAGTTGAGATTTTGGAAAGGAAATATAAGACCCATATAAAGTCAATAAGTGCATATGTATGGTGGTTGGAGATAAAATGATGGTAACTTTATGCTTAGAAGTGACTTGCAAAACATTCGAGGACGAATGTTCTTAAGTGGGGGAGAATGTAGCACCCCGAAAATTTTTTGAAATACTTAAGCGTATTTAAGAAAGTTGATATGTGCTAATTATATTATTTTATGTGCAGACGAGAACTATTAATATGATGGATAATAATTAGATGTGATAATAAGTGTACGAGGCATATTTGAAGTGATATAGGGCATAAGGAGAGCCCTTGGGACAAATCAAGTTGGAAATTACATGATAGACTCAAGTTTCAAATGAATATGCATAATATCTAACTTTGGACGAGAATATCTACACATATATAAGTAGTTATGTGATGGAAAACCTATCAAATGAAAGATCTTCGAGTCTAGTTTCTAACGCTTCAAAATGTTTGTCATTTGGATATTCTTACAAAATGTTATGACCAAATTACCAAAGGCTGGCAGAGGAGTGAACTGCGGATGCAAAGCATCCTGGGCTGCGTCCAAAAGAAAGGCTAGCAGTGAAGTGCTGCCATAGCATCCAGGTCCGTATCCGAGCTTCGAAGAGGAGCAAATTGGGGATGCGAAGCATCCGAGGCCGCGTCCGAAACCTAGAAATATGGGCCTATAAATACAAAGTCGGGGGAGGAGAGTATTTTGAGTATTAGGGGTTAGGGTTCTTGAGGTGAATGGGAGATTTTAAGCTCAAACCAAGTCCAATCAACCAAGGTAAGTTGTTAATGATGTTTTGGGTTGATTCTTACTGAATATACACAAGTTCTAACATCATTCTTGCATCCAAATGCTAGATTTCATCATCAAATCCTCAAGAACACTAAAATCACCAAAGTTGTGATTTTTCAAGATTGAGCTACTAGATGTAATTTCAATGCTTCAATTATTATGAGTATTTAGAAGTATTTGAAGCATTTGTTACAAGTTTTAATAATTGAAATATTGGATTATAAAATTCTATTTCATGGCATGAATAGTACTTTTGAGAAAATCAGAGAGAAGATGAGTATTAATCTTGGCGATGAAACTGATGAATAAAATGAACCTATGGAGTTATTTGTTAGCAAAAGTTGGAAGTAATCAACTAAGTAATCACCTGAATTCCTATATTTTACAATTGTTGATTATGAAAGATGAAGAATAGTAACTTGGTGGCATTGGACAATTGATGTAGTATCATTAATGATTTCGAATGGGTATTAAAATATAAGAATGAAGTTGAATGGTCTAGCTTGTAAATCTATTTAATTTGGTGATTTGACTTGTTGGAGGCTTGTAGCCAACTTATGAGCCATATATGGATATTGATCAATTTCGTAGGTCATATTTTGATGTAATTAGGATATCTAAGTGTAGATATCGACTTGTTGGTGATGTTTGAGTACTTTAATCAACATTGGAATGATGGAAGAGGATTGAAAGTTTGTGAATGTTAATAAAGCGAAAGCGAGGTAAGTTGATTAAAACTTACTCTTCTTGAGGGACTTTCTCTAAAAGCATGTTTCAAGTTAATACTTAAGTTGTTTGCAAATGTGCTTTCATGCTTGTGGGACAAAGAGGTACGGATGTCTCCATGTACTAGAATATTATATTGCATATGTAGTGTCATGTCGTTTTATAAAATTTTATTTTAAACCTTGTTGGCAGAATGACACTCAAGGTAAATGTTATAAGTTTTTATCAAAACTTACGTATTGACAACAATATACATATTTGAGTGTTAAAGATAAATTTTCATGGAAAGTATTTTTTTTTGGAAATTGACGAACAGAATAGCATTTGTGGTATCTTTTAAAGATTGATGTAAAATTGCTAAAGGCTTTAGCATGTAAAAGGTTGTTTATTTAATTTTTGTAAAATGATTTAGATTTTCTATAAATGCTATGAGTTGATAAAAATAGATCCTTTGAAGCTACTATGCTATGAATCTATTTTTGAAGTATCAAATATTTTGGGAGTTACTTGTATTCACCGAGATTTACTTCGGATATATTGTGTTCGTTGTCATGAAACTATACGTGTCCGTGTAGACGTAGATGGTCACTTTGTGTTATAGACTAAGGCAGAGTGCTCTCCCTCGAGAGAGTACTATTTTGTACTATTATTAGCATGGTTGAGTCGATTCGTACGGCACTACGATGAGAAGACCTGAGCAAGTAGGATATATGATATTTGTCGCTAGGTACATAACCTAGTTGACCTTCTTATGTCGGTGATGGTATAATACTCCCAGTGAAAGGTAAGGATGGTTTTCTTATGTTTAGGCCTAAGGAGCCGAAAGTAATTTCAATGACTTAAAACAAATGGAATGATTTTGTATGATTTTATCCAAAATCTTGGATTGATGTAAATATTTTAAAAGTTTATATTTTACTTGTCTTTAAAATGACAAAGATCATGAATTGATAAAACTTCTTATCGTTTTATATCAAATATTGATGCATTATTTTTTTTTTATAAAATTTGTCTCAAGAACTTAAGTTAGAGAGAGTCTATGACACTTATTGAGTACCGTTGTGGTGTACTCAGCCCTTAGGCCTTCCTCCAGGGTCCCGCTTATTTTACATGTTTCAGGATGAGGTATGATACGTGGCATATAGTCAGGGTTAGGATGAATCTCTTTCCGAGGTGTTATGAAGCACCACTTTTATTTCATGGTAGCTATCATGTATATTCTTATTTTCTTTTGTTGGAATTATTCCAAATGTTGGTTCTGTTCTTTGGTATAGAGGCTCCATATATAGTTGTATTGGATTGTAAAAAATAGGATTGTGGACGTCATGCATAAAGGAATAATCATTTAATTTGGTTATATCATTTTTATGAAAAGTTTCATGTATGATTTTGGAAATGAAAAATATGTTGCGACTTGATTTGAAAATGTATAAGATTTTTAATTGGCTTCCGCAATTATACTTGGTCTTGACACATGGGTTGGTTCACTTGGATCGGGCAGTATGCCGGGTGCCGGTCACGCGGATTTCGGTCGTGACAACAACATTTAGGTAATGAACTCGCGTACATACTCTCGAATTGTGCCCATATGTCGGAGCTCCCTTAGCTTCCGCCTAGCTTCATACACCATATTCACCGGGTAGAATTGCTTCTTCAACTCCTTCTTGAACTGCTCCCACGTCTCAATCTTGCATAGCCCCTTCTCTATGTCAGCACACTTTCAATGCCACCATAACGCAGCAATCTCTGTGAGGCACAATACAGTGGTGTTAATCTTAGCCTCACCATCCCTCTCTTTACCGTGCCTGAAGTAGTTCTCCAAGTGCTAAAGGAAGTTCTCCACTTCTTGTGCATCACGAACACCTTCGAACATCAGGGGTTTGGGAGCCTCGATCTTGGCCTCCCTCGTCACCACAACATTGTTGGCTACCTCGGTCATGCCAGCACTAACATGCTCCTCGAGTGATTCTATCTTGGCCTTCATAGCATCGATAGTACTCAAAGCCTCCATGAGTCTGCACTCTAAGGCAGTGATGGTTTGCCTTAGTTCCATCTCGGTATGTGTACGTCCCTCCAAGTCATTTTGGATACTCTCAATCTCTTCAAGAGTGTGCCCCTCAAGAACGCTAAGGGTGCCTTCCACCTTCCCCAAGCATTGGCCAAAGATCTCCACGACGTCCATCCCCGTGTTCATCTTCATCACCCACTCTTTACCGAGCAAGACGTCCTCGGGCAGGACCTCCACTTCATCCTCGCTCGCCTCAGTGGCGGATGGTTCTTAAGATGTAAGCCCTTCGTTTGACACAACCTCGAGTGGCACCTCCTGGCTCTTGTTGGTGGCATTCCTCTTTTTGTTACGGCCACTCTTGCCAGCAGCATCTTGGATGACGTTAGCTTGGGTGTTGGCAGCGTTAATTTCTCTGTCGTTCGTCATTCCCTTAGTTGTAACCTTAGATCTGATACCACGTTGTCACATCCTTAGTCTCTAACTAAGTACACGTGCGACACTTGACAATTTGCTCACGATCTTGCACAACTTGCTCACGTTCTTGCTATGCCAAGTCAGCCTTATTATACTCAAAATCGGCAAAAGAATGGTAGAAAGAACACAAGAGAATTGTTAAAGGAAGTTTTGTATTAGAGAGAATTTGAATTGTTTGCTTGATGAGTTATAAATGAATAACCCCCTTTATATACTAGTTTCACATGGGCTAGTGAGTAAATAATAATTATTACACAAGGCCCTTATTATTTACAAGCAAGTCTCTTCTCTAGAATATTCTACATAGTTAGAATCTTCTAAGGACTTTCTTAGCAATTCCATAGGGTTCTAAGGCCCACATGTACTAGTCTATTTCATATGTAAGCTTCCATATGACAAAAATATATGTCAAATGGCACCTACGTGGCATGGTGATATGGCGGGTCATGACAATAAGCTAATATGTTTTGCTAGGCTAATTAGCATGAAAGAAAGTGCATCAATATGACTTCAATTAAAACTGTCAAAGAGTTTACATTTGTGTATATATCAAAGCTATCAAATTAATGACAAAAAATGTCTAATTAAAATATCTCTTGTTGACTACACTTCAATGACAAGAGCGTCAAAACTTCATCATTTTGATTATCTGTGCGCTAAAACTTGAATTTGGAACCTGAATTTGCTCATCCAATCTCCAGTTCAAGTTTTGGTGGCACCAACCATTGATGAAATAGCAGCAGCTAGCACCGATTGAAAGCTAGGATCTGATGCGATTGCCTTTGTCAACGTTTCCGTTAGAGCCTGTTGAGAAGATTCCTCCTTCAAGTTATTACTAATACTGTTCTTACTCTTCCCAAGAACTGGTTGGTCAAATTGTTTTGGGGCAGGGGATGGCTTTCCAAGATTTGATGAACCAATGTTTGTGAGACTCTTGCTATATGGTAATGAAGTAGTAGGATCATAATCTACATACCCACTGCCCAAAATTTTGGATAGTGTGTCCGATTCAGGCGAGGAAAAGTTTAAACTGTTAGAAAGAAATCCCGTGTTGGATTGGAAATTGGAAGGGAAGTTGAAACTAGTAAATGATGAAGTAGTTGGGAATGTGGTGAAGTCTAATGTGATGGTGGGAAAAGGATTTGAATTTGAAGGAGAATTTGATAAATAAAGAGGTGTTGATTTCGAATTATTAGGCAAATTTCTGAAATCTTTATTAGCTGATTGAGAACTTGATGATCCAGAAAGAAGCATTGAAGCAGCAGCTGAAGTAGTGGAGGCCATAGCAGTTGCCTCAATTGGAAGTGAATGATTATGTGTTCCTTCATAAGTTGTGATTAATACAGACATATCTTCAACACATCGTTGGACTTGTTTTCTCACAGGACATAATGGAGCGACTGAACACCGATAATATGAACGTGGACACGGATTACCTCTAGATATCTTTTGTCCATATTTCCTCCATTGGCAACCATCATTAATCTGTATTACACAGGGAAAGGAAAAGAACAGTGAGAAATGAACTCGCACATTAATAGCGATATCATAATTGAATTTTTGAACTTACTGTTGGGTAGTCGCATTTTGTCCGAACTGAGACTCTAGCTCTCTTGACATTGGGCTGGGAAACCTCATCATCACCAGCTCTCTTAACACTTGGGCTGGGCTGTGAAACTTCATTGTCACCTCTTCTCATTGTCTTGACAATTTCACTAGTTGGCCCTGATTCTCTGGCGTCTACTGTTTTTGTTTCTAAAACCTTATCTGGGCTTGGATCAGTATTGGGCTTGATAGGATCAGATTTAGATACTGCAATGTTGTAGTCCAGCCCAAGTTTAAGCCCATCACTGGAGTGACAAGAATGTCTTTTCTTATCATCTTTTTTGAACTGATCAATACGACTAGGACTTCGCCCAAGTCGAAGAGAGACTAGTTCAGATTCTTCTGCAATAATGTTTTCAGTTGTACAAGTCGGGCTGGCACTTTGATTGAACTCTGGTTGAGAAATATTAGAGACGCGAGATTGAAGGGAATTGTAATCCTCCTCTACTTGTTCAAGTAACATTCTTAATCTTGCATTCTCTAGTCTGAGCTCATTGACTTCTGCTATGGCTGACTTAAATTCATCATCCTACATTCACAATAGTACAATTCAGTCAAACATCATTTTCCCATTGATGAGCAAGAGGTGGATAATTCGGCAGCTATATATAGACTTCTTATAAGTTTGTTTTTTCAGTTCGACCAAAACATTTCATAGAAAATAACTATGCCAGATCTCATGATACACATATGCCACTAAATGAAAGGCAATTTTCACTGTCCATTGATTAAGAAGAGTATTCAATTTCTTGACCAGTTGGGAAAACACCCTTTAGGGATGTCATCTAAAGTTTTTACTTTAGAACCTCAACGACACTAGATTCAAACTCATACAACTTGAGTTGTGATAATAGACGGACACTATTTATGCAAAATTCTGCATACACCACCGTTTTAATAATAAACTCCATCATTGCTACATCGTCTAATTGTATATTTAATTCACTCTTAATTTTCTATTCATGAAAAGTTTGATATAAACTGAAATATATATTTTTTTAAATCATAAACAACGGTGGGACGCAAACAGATCTCCCCCGATGTAATTCAGGGTACAGAGGTTTAGACTTTTAACTGCATGAAACTGAGGTAAAATCATTACCATGAACCTGGAAACTAATGGATTTTCTGCCAAAATTTAAAAAGAGGTCGAATTCCAAACGAAACTAAAATTTGGACTTCAAATATAAATGCACGTAGTTGACACATAGAATGAAGAAGAAGAAAGCTTAATTAACAGAGATTTTAATTTTACCTTTAAAGATTTCCTGACTGCTTCTTCTTCATGATTATTGCCTTCATTTCTAGCTACAACTGCTTCTTCTGTGATGGAATTATCCATTTTTTTCTCCATAGCTTGAAATTAAAGCCTTTTTTGGTTGGTCTCTTTGAACAGTTTTTGAAGGTTTCTTATAGTTGTACTTATTCCTTAAAAGAGCCCTTTGTCTTCAAACTACTATTATTAAATATTTAAATTCACTTGAATCTAAGTCTCCTCCTTTCGCCATTCGTACACACAAACGTTCAAAAACAATTAAAAAATTGAGGGCGACCGCCAATCATCTTCTATTTTATATTCATTATTCTATACACACTCTGTTGATGACCTGACGATTAGAAAGAAAAAAGAATTAATAAAGAACAGTTGAAGTTCAAATTCAACGTTTAAGTGACAGACGAGCTTTGAAGACTTTCTGAGAGAAAACGTATTTTTTTGGCTGTCTCCAATCTTGATATGATTATTATGTTATATATTTTGAAATTTTCTCCTTATTAGTTTAGTAGTAAGTACTCCTTTTGAAGCTTCGTACGAAATGAAAGGTCACATGGCAAAAGGGTCAACTCATATCATACAACTTAATTTGCCATATGGCTGGTGACCAGATAGATCCCTAGGGTTACTCTAAAAAAGAGGTAAACCCCTCATCTGTATATTTTGCGTGAGAAACGGATTCGAGATTTAAATTTGAAGGATTCGAGTTTCATGTTTCTAACTTTAAACTATTACACGTTTAAAATTATGATTATGGGTTGAGAAGTTGATATTAACCGAGATTTTTATGATTTTTGTTATATATATATGACTCAAGATTTTTTTGGTTGGGACGTTGGCTCATGAAAATTGGGTTGATCCAAACATTCTCTAATAATAAGGTAAGCTCCATGTTGATTTGAACCCATGAATTTTACTCTCTGTTCGTTACTATTTTTTTTAATCCGAGATCCGAAATTCATTTGTTCATCTAATTAATTTAAATTTTTATGAGGTAAACCTGATTAAGCTCTCTACCAAAAAGAATATCTATTTTCAAAACTCGAGATTTCTGATTATCTCGCCACACCGATGAATTATCCCTAGTCTATATTCAATTATTAGTCAAGCCACTTTTCAGACACGGAGAAGTAAATCTCTTGATCTTCATAAATTGACTACCCAACCTTCTAATTTTTAAACATATTGCCCTCTCTTAAATCCCAAACAATAATTTTGAACTGCAAAAACTGGAAATACGAGTTAAAAAAAGACATTCAGATAAAAAACTTGTAATTTATTCTGTAGTTAATGACCGATCATCTTTTTCTTTTTACCCTCTCTTGAGGAGAAAGAAATCTTTCAAGAGCGTGAATCTAGATGAAGATGCGAGAAATTATTTTTTCTGTATAAATATTTATTGTTACATTTTGCATAAAAGAAAAACTCACTATTAGTGTTTTAAAAGGCGAGGCGTAAGCCCCGAGGCACGGGACGTAAGTCCCATAGATATTTAATTTTTAATATTTTATAAAATAATATAATTACAGTAAAATATTTATAAACATGTAAAATTGCATAAAATTGAATAAAATTATAAATATGTGATATATNCACAAGTAACTTGAGTTGAAAAGAATAAAGTTTTCTACAATATGGAGGAACAAAAAGGATGACTAACCTGTAATTTGAACTTTGAACTTGCTGTTGTGAAGGAGAATGGAGTTCTATTTGTATTTGTAAAAATAATTGAATACTCGTTGCTTTTGGGAGATATTAGCAGACTAGCGGATAAGATAATGAATTGAAAAAGACCATGAATTAGAGCTTCAATCAATAAAAAAGGTCTTGACTTTTAAATCTAATACATTTCAGTTCCTTTTTAAAACTTTTGAGTACTTACCAAGCTAACTTTTGAGAATTTGGGTATTATATGAAGGACTTATTCAACAAATTTTATTTTAATTTGAAAAAGTCTCTGGGGCTTACGCCTCACTAAAACAATGCGCCTCAAACGCTCGGGCGTATGCCCCGAACGCCCGAGCGTACGCTCCGAATTGCTGGGCGTTCACCTCTTGAGACTTGTAACGACCTGACTTGTCGTTTTAAGAATTAACGCCCCGTTCAGTGACTTAAGGTCTCGAACAACTTCGTAATAAGTATTATGACCCGTGGGTATGGTCGAGTTTGATTTTCGAAAGATTCAAAATTTAATTAAAAGAACAATTCTTATTTAAGAAGTTTAAAAGAAAAGAGTTGACCGGGGAGTTGACTTTTTAATATTGGGGCCGGAATACAATTCTGAAAATTGAAATACCTGCATTATGCCATTTATGACTTGTGTGCAAAAATTGAAGCCATTCCGGATCGATTTGATACGTTTCGGCGCAAAACATAGAAGTTGGGAGATTCGAAAACTCATAATTCGATTCGAGGCGCGATTCGTAATTTTGACATTGTTTGACGAGATTTGAAGCTTCCGTTAAATTCGTATTGTATTTTGGAACGTATTGGTATATTTGGTTGAGGTCCCGAGGGGCTTGGGGTGTATTGTTGGGGAATTGGATGAGAGATTTGTAAAGTTAAAAAATCTGGGAGTTTGACCATGGTCAATATCGGATCAAGACGACCTCTTTTTAGTGTTTTGAGTGCGCGAACAGGTCCATAGCGTGTTTTATGATTGAAATTCATATATCATTTGTGTCCGCGAGGTTCCGCATGGGTTTCGGGAGTGCTGAGGCAAAAAGGGAAGTGCGGACCTCAGGGGAGTTGTGGGGACTGCACAATTTTGATGCGGCCGCACTCATGTCCGCAGAGGAATGTGCGGCCGCACTCAGGAACTCTCAGATTTGATGGTTCGACTTCAGAAGCTTATATCTTTTGATCCACAAGGAATTTTGAGATGATTCAAAAATAAAAGTTGTAGCTCTTCGCGTTTAGTTTCCAGAAAGATAAAGAAATCATAATTTGGATATCTGTACAGAAAGTTATGGCCAATTTACTGAAGCCTGATTGTGGAGAAGTTGCGAAGTGCGGACCGCACAATTTTTGTGCGACCGCAGAACCTGGAATGTGCGGACCGCACAAAAATGGTGCGGTCAGCACAATGAGGGATCAGATTGTGTATTATAAAACTAAGGGTTTAGGTATTATTTCACATTTGGAGTTTGGGAGCTCGGTTTGTGACGATTTTTAGTGAAATTTTCAAGAAATTCATTGGGGTAAGTGATTCTAATCCAGATTTGGTTAACATACATGAATATATCATTGCTTTCATCATTTAATCAGTATTTTGAGATGGAAATTTGGGAAAAATTGTAGAAATTTCATAAAAACAAATTTTTGGGATTTGAATACCAATTCGAAGTCGGATTTGGATAAAATTGGTATGGTTTAACTCGTATCGGAATGGGTATTCTGATTTCATGAAAATTATGTCGGGTTCCGAGAGGTGGTCCACGCGTTGACTTTTGTTGACTTTTTGGAATAAATTTTTAAGTCGACGTTTTATTATCCGGAATTATTTCTGATGAATTTTAATGAAGTTATACCACTAATTTGAATAGATTTGAGCGGTCCGGCGGTCAATTCAAGCAAGAATGCGATTTTAGAATATCGGTATAACTTCAAAAAGGTAAGTGTCTTGCTTAACATCGAGTGAAGAAAATACCCCATAGGCATTGAGTATTATGTGCAAACTGTGTAATTGAAAACCATGTACGCGAGGTGACGACTACGTACTTGGTTGATATGTGCAAATTTCATTGATTAAAATCCTTAGACACCCTTAGGTATTAAATTGAAAATTATTGACACTTATTAAATCCTCTATTTGTCATACCTAGATCCTTGTTTATTGAAATTGTTTTATACGATGATTTGGTGTGATTGCCACCTTGATTTTATGTGAAATATTATTTTGTTGAGCTGTTCACTTCCGGATATATTTTTGTTAAGATTTTGTGCATATTATGGTCGAGCCATGAGCTCCTTATTGTGAAAAATTATGTATTGTTGATTTCTGTGACAAGTTGAAATATTTGGGCACTTGATGTGCAATTTGTGATATGTTGTAAGATTTGAGCACTTGATGTGCAATTTGTGAAATGTTGTAATATTTGGGCACTTGAGGTGCAAGTTGTATTATGCTTTGATATTTGGGCACTTGAAGTATGATTTGTAAAATATTGTGATATTGATACGCATGCGGTGAGATAAGGGTGGCTTGAAACGTGTGGCTAGTAGGGGAACTACTAGAAGTCATGCAGTGATATAAGGTGAGAGTGTTGAAACGCATGCGGTGAGATAAGGGTGGCTTGAAACGCGTGGCTAGTAGGAAAACTACTAGAAGTCATGCGGTGTGATAAGGGTGGCTAAAACGCGGGATGCTATTTAGGGAAAAATGATTTCTTTAAAATTAAATGTGAAGGCTCTCGCGGTGATATAAGAAAATGAAATTTGTGAATTTATTTATGATTTGGGACTACGAGGTGGTACCTCGGGAGTGCCCTGTTGATATTTCTTTATTTATGTTCTTATCTTGTGTGATTTTGTTTCATTTAATATGTAAATTCTTGCCTTCTTCCGTGATGTATTAGTTGACTTTATTATTATGTATTTTGTGCTCCTAGTTATATTGTGTTAGCTTTGGCTTTTTAGCACGTGACTCTGAAGAAGTATATTTTTGATTTTTCTTACTGATTTTCGATGATTGAGTTGATTTAATTAAAAGAAATTATTATGTTTTAAATTAAATAATTTTACATCCAAATTAGTAGTTAACTGATGCTTTAATTTAAGTACAAATATTATTTTCTTCACCCAAATGATTTCTAAAATAAATTCATTTATTTGTTGATTTTCTTTCTTGATTTAAAAATTGTAAACTTACTTTATTAAAAATAAATTGATCCTGCGGATCTTATATGATTTTATTATTGACACATGATTTTTCCACCTAGATTGTGATAGAAATATGGGCACGAGGTGCCGTGGAAAATATGAAAGTGGGCTGAGACCCGTAATTTTTATGATTGTGAAATGAGGTATCACATAATGACTTTTACTTGAAAAATATATTTATTTGAAGAAGTATATTCAAAATATATTTATTAAAGAAGTATATTCGAAAGATACTTGTCTTAAATAATAATATGTGAAGGAATTATATT